AGGGTCCAAGTTGATCTTCAGAGAGGAAGAATGATGGTTATGACACCTACTCTGGTTACTGGAAGTGGGCAGCCAGGCCTCTTGCTGGAGAGCTCTGACCTCCTCAGCTGCTTAAGATTAACTCAAGGAATCCCTCTGGATTTCCACTAGGCCACTGTTGATTCCCTTGACTTTGGTAATCATGACATGCTCTCAGGCCTCCAGATGTGGCAAAGTCAGGTTGCTCTGGGAAGGGCAGGGCCCTCTGCCTTGGCAGCATGTGGCATCAGCAGCAGGCTTTACTGCAGGAGCAGCAGTGAATGAGATGCCAGAGGGATGGTGTTTTGGAGACTTGCATCTTGGCTGGACTGCGTTGTTGAAACAAACTGTCCGGTTCCCAAATAAGCAGTGTTTGGGTTTGGTGCTGTCTTGTGCTGCTTCCTGACACCATGTGGAAGGCAGTGCCTGTGGATGGGAGGCACTAGGCCAGCTCCATAAAGTGACTGTCAGCCAGGATTGCTCTGTGGCAGGCACAGAAAGCTCCTTGTGCTTTATGCCTGATGGCTTGGTAGTGAAGATGGTGCAGCAGTGTGAGGACACTGGAAATGCAGCTCCTTTCCAGCCTCTGCCACAGGGGCTGCCCAGAAAGCCTCCGGGCGTGAGAGCAGCAGGGGCTGCTGGAAGAGGAGTCCTTGCTGCAGACTGCTCTGCTTTTCTTCACTGAAGTGGCACAGGCCTCAGTGCCAGGGATACTCCTGATCCCCCTCCCAGTGTCTGAGCTGTGGAGGTCCAAAACAGACCTGCAGCTGTGAACAAATAGTGCTCAGAGCGTCAGGGACAGCCACGGGGAGTCTGTGGTGTCTCAGATGTGCAGGTGTAAGTCCTGTCCTGTTCCTTGTGTTGCAGGTGGATATTCGCTTTCCCCAGAGTGGAGCTCCTGATCCCAACTGTGTGACTGTGACAGGACTCCCTGAGAACGTGGAAGAAGCTATTGATCACATCCTGAACTTGGAGGAGGAATATGTAAGTGTTCAGCAAATCTGTGCAGGGGCTTAGCAAGGGTTTTCTCTGGCACAGGGCTGGAGGTCTGAAGTATCTCCATGTGGAATCTTCCTCCACTGCATCAGAGCACGTGAGCCCTGTGCAGGTGGCAGTCAAGCCCCCATCTGCAGCTGTCCCACAGACAGCTGGCCTGGCCCCACTGTCCAGGAGAGGACAGTGAATGAGAATGCTGGGACAACCCAGGGTGTGCATGTGCTTGCATTGCTGCATCTTGCACCGGGTAGGAGTTGTGGCCCTCCGACTAGTGCAGAAACACCGTGTCTGGTCATTGCAGAACAGACTGGTGTGCTCGGGTGGTTTGCAGTGCTGTGAGATGGAGGATGGGCGTGTTCCTTAGTGAGGAACAGCTAGCATTCCAGTTTGAGGAGCCATCCAGATCCCCCTAACTGGTTGCATTACTGCAGCTTGCAGATGTGGTGGACAACGAGGCGATGCAGGTGTACATGAAGCCTTCCTCACATGAAGAGTCCAAGGCCCCATCCAAGGGCTTTGTGGTGAGAGATGCCCCCTGGGCCACTGTCAACAACGAGAAGGTGAGCGAGTACTGCTTCTGCTGGGGCTGGGGGCACAGGGCGTGGGACCCTCCTGCTGGGCTGGGACACAGCATTCTCCCTCTGCAGTGGTAGAGGAAGCAGTGCAGAGCCCTCCTGCTCTTTGTGGCCCTGCAAGCTGAGCACAGGCCTCTCCTCTCCAGCTTCCAAAGCACTGCTGTCTCGTTCCAAACGTCTTCCCCGCTCCACCTACCCCACTGCGGAGCTGTTGGGGAGTGGGGGACCCTTACCAGAAAGTGTCCTGCCAGGTCATGTGGTTTTTAGGGATAGGGATGGGGCCCCGGGACTCGAGGCTGTTCTGCTGCAGCACAGATGTGGCTCTGTTGGCAGCTGAGCTCGTGGCAGCACATCCTCAGCTGCTCCAGGGCTGCGGCGACGCTGGCCTCACCCCACTCCCGTGGCCCAGTTAGTGGGCTGGGGTCCTGCAGCCCTCTGTGCCTACCTCCACCCTCCTCAGTGTCACCTCTGGATGGCTCAGCCTTCAGCCTGGGCAGTCCTGAGGCCACAGTGATCTTTCTTGGCCCTCCCCCCTCGGGGTGTCTCTGCTTGTGGGACGTCAGCGATGCTGCTTAGCTCAGGGCCACACCATACAGGGTCGCAGCAGGGCAGGAGCTTAACTTGTTCCCTTTTTGTTTGCTCTAGGCCCCTGATATGAGCAGTTCTGAAGACTTCCCCAGCTTTGGGGCTCAAGTGGCCCCCAAGACTCTTCCCTGGGGACCCAAACGATAATGACCTGGAAGCAGAAACTCCTCCAGCCCGCTGACCTGACACTAACCTGCCACACATACTTCCTGTCTGAAATCTGACCCAGCGGCTGGAGCACAAGTCAGTTGCCCCAAGAGGTCTCCTAATGGTGTCTGGAGTGCTAGACCCCATCCTGCTCCCCTCAGCTATCACCGTGGCTAGGACCCGCCCTCATCTCTTGATGGATATTCTTTCCTCCTTTGGAACAAGACTTCCACTGAGATTGAAACACTAAATGTGTGTGTTTTTGTTAGAAACTTCATAATTGACTCCAAGTGGCTAAGATTTGCAGCTTCCCAAGCGCTAGCAGAGCAATCTGCTCTCTTGAGCATGTCTGACTAGGCATTCTTGCCTTCATTAGGAGACCTCCTTTACTGTGGCTAGGAATCTACTTCCTGTCTCATGACCTCAGGAAATAAATTTCCTTGACTTTCTAAAGCCAAAATGTTTGCCCTCTTTCCTTTGTGTTTATCCCAGGCCTTACCTTCCCTTTATAGAGTGCAATCAACTTGTTTTCCTTTTAACTGCCAAAAGATTCATTTAATGCTGATAGCTGACTGTGGGGAGAACTTAGACTAATCTGAAGGCCAGAAGCTTGTTTTCTAGAGGAGCAAACCCTTCGTAGGCTGCAGAGGTGGAAGGGGCCAGACACCGTACAGCCGCCCGGCCTGGAGCGCAGCGCTGTGCCTGGAGCTGTGCCCGGCGGGTGGCAGACCCTGCTCCTGGGCCCCGGGCTCTCCTTCCCCTGCCCGGCAGCCAGGAGCCAGAGCAGGCAGGAGCCAGCCCGAGGGGCATGGCTGGAGGGGACAGGCGTGGGGCTGTGAGGCTGTGGCCGGAGCGCCTGTGGGTCCCTGCCCGAGCTGCAGCAGCTTGGCCGTGCCACCACTCCCGTTGCCTTCTCTCTACCTCAAGCGCCAGTACGATGGGGCCTCTGGCAGCTGTGGGTGCACAGCTGCTCCAGCTGCCCCCGAGCAGACACGTGGAGCAGAGCAGGAGGAGCCCTGTTCCCCCACGGGGCTGCGGGAGCTGCTCCAGAGGGAA